ACAACACTAATCACAACAACATCAACCACAACACCAACCACAACACCAACCATTACAACCTCTACAACTCCTACAACGGAAGGTATGTGAATTCCTAATAAAAATCAATATACTGTATTACTTTGAGTCCAAATTATATAGTGTTTACAACATATAAATATGCTTTAGTGAAGATAGTCATAATGCACAACTATAGGGGTTTAGATACAAAGAAAGAGACAATATAATATTTTAGCTATATTTGTTTAGTTTGTTTAAGCATTTTTGGTGAGATGTTTGCAAACTCTTCCTGTTGAAAGTCATGACAATGACATTCACAAGTTCTATGTTTTTATTGCCTTATTCATTTCTAAATGTAATGCTTCACAGGCGTGGTATTACTGGCACTCCAGATGAAGATAACTACCCTTGGAGAAGTCAGCAATGGAACTATCACTGAGCTTGTTGAACAGGTATGCAAAACACAGTATGTGAGTAATTTTGTTGTGTCAATTCTCTTCCCACAGCAGTCAATTTTAAAAGGAGTCAAAATTCTGATGTTTCCTCTCTGCATCTTCTCTCTATATAGTTTCTTGGAGAACAGCTTCTGAATGGAACAGCTCACACAGCCACTGTGACAATTCGAAGGGTTTAAGTTGGTCGGAGAAGCTGAATATATAAAAATGGCAATTCAAGCATGCACTGCTGGAGGTATAGTTTCAACATCATCAGAAGCAGAAGTTGAGCTCAGTTGTTTTATCATATCTGGATATACTTTTCTACAGTTTGAGTATCCTATAAAATGTGATTGTTCTCCACTGTGCTGCAGTGGTTTTATCATTTATCAAATCAAATATTTGCAGTCCCATGCTGCTGGCTAGAGGGGAATTTTGGGTTGATCCATGTTGTACAGAAATGATAAAGAACAAGGAAGTTCAGACCAAGCAATCTGATCTGTTAAAGAGACTCTGCATAGACTCGGCTCTGCATTAAGTGCTAATATGTAACTGTGAAGAATAGTAAAAGCTTTCCGTCCAAGCTTTTCCATTTGTTTGGTGTTTTTTTTTTCCTTTTAAAGGCTACTTTTTAATTTGGCTTCTTATTTTTGCTGGCTCACTTCTTCCAGCGCAATGTTTTGTCCTCTGCACTGCATCATTATGCAGTGTTACATCTCACCTTGCAACACTGATTAAAACACTTTTCAAATCATGTTTGTAGATTCATCCCATTGTTCTGATGTTCACCCATCAAGTAGGCACGTAAAACATCCGTAAAAGAGAGCTTCAGTGCAGTTTAACACTGGAGTTGTAACACACGATTATCAGTTCTGTTATATTGCACAATTTGTGAAGATGAATAAAGAGAAGCATCTGTCAGAAGTGCCTGTTCTTTGTGTTCTTTATTAAAGATTTTCAAGGAAACTTTATTCAGCATTTATTTTAAAGTATATAGATTTAAGTATACATAAATTGTTCAGATTTGCCTTAAAAAATTATTAGAAAATACAAAAACATTTGCTATAAAGTGACACATTTTATAGTGAGTCTGTAACTAATTACCTTAATATACTGGAATATAAACGGGAAATCTAAAATGTGAAATATGCAATTATACTAGCTCTGCAAATTCTCAACATGGAGGTGCATGATGCTAGATTTGTTATTTACGGTCTACTGGAATATTATTCATTATAATTAAAGATTTAAAAAACACAATTTTTGAGGAAAGCTCACTTTCTGTGTTCAGCTGCATTAATCCAGTAAATCTCATTTACAGCAGCCAGAAAGACCTAATCCTTTTCTTATATTAGGTATCATTTCCTCCTGCTCTTCTCAAAGGCATGACATAAAGGCATAACAACATGTGCAAACCTGCCAACATACACCAGACACTGAAGAAATAAAATGCACCAGACTTTGAATGCTTAAAGCTTAAAACAATACAAACACTGGCCGAGGTTCTTTTATCAAGTCACATGAGTTACACATACTAATGGAACAAACTACAAGAACAGCAGCACCTAAATTCCAAACTGCATGAAGTCTTTTGTCTCTGTCACTTTGTTAACATCCTGCAGAAACTTTACAGCTTTGCAAAGTCATCTTCAGCAGGATGCATCCACTTCCTAGTCCTGTTCTCACTTCTTTGCAGTCATTGCCTCTCTCTGTCTGGAAATGTGTGAAGCCCAGCTCTGTCCGTGCACCGCTCTGTTCAGCAGCACCAACAGGTCCACAGCCGTCGACACTCCCCTGGGCAGGAATAGCTCCAGAGAGGAGGGGAAGGTGTGGGGAAGACAAATGTTTGACATGCTCACATCCTGGAAAATGAAGTCACAGTGAAGGAAAATAATCTTGAAATGGAAGAAAGTGACACATTCTATCTGAAAACAGCATACTCAGCCAAGTGCATCCAAAAACACGAGTTTTTAGTAATAATTTCCCTACAGTGTCGAGTCATATATCTGCATCATTAAAAATAAAAAATAAAAAAAAATCTGCAGTTATTACGTCTGGGGAGGTGTTATACAACAGTTAGGAACTCTTATTTCCACAAAACATGCATATGTTGCTGGTTTTGTAGGCAGCAACAACTTTGCCATTTACTGCACCAGACAATAGACAGACCATGTTAGCAACTAGCCAGTGAACACACTGAAGCATCTTCAGCTAAAGAGGCATATATTTTTTTTCTCAGGAATTCCTGTTTACCAAATTAGAGCTGAAAAGCCTTCGACATGCATTCATCAGGTCACTCAAGATTTGATGTCAGCACTAATGTTGCAACTTTATACGGTCATGAGCGTCTGCATTGTGTTGCTGACAACTTGGGGTGATGTTGTGCCCCAAGTTGTCCAAAAAATAATTGAACTTAGGTGTCAAACTAAGCTTCCCTCAGATTGGCAGTGTCTGTCACAGGTGAATAGATGAGATGTGTCGCCTTATAAGAAGCATGCAATCTCATTAAATGTTATTAGCATTGGTTACATCAGTGATTTCTGTCACATGAAGTTTTCAGGATTTTTATATTGATTTGACAAATACCGACCTGGGAGTAAAAACGAAGGGAGATGAGTGTAGGTAGCCCAGGAGGAGGCAGGTGATCTGTTCCTGTGATGAAGGAGAGGAGCTCTTCACACGAAAACTCTGCCTGACCATCTGCTTGGGCAGAAGGAGGAAATATTTCAATGAAAACAATTTGCCAGCACAAACTGGAATGGCATGTTATTTATTTCCTCCACTGCTGCCTAATTAAAGAGCTATAAGGATCTTTGCTTTCTTTGCCTGTGTCCATCCCTCCATGCTTACCGCTGACCAGGGTGAGGGCTGCTTCCCAGTGTGCTGCTGTGGCCTCCTCAGCTGCCCTCAGATCAGAGTCTGGGTGGCTGTAGCAGAAGGTGAAGAGCTGTTTGAACTCTCCCAGGGTCAGACGCTGCTGATTTGTACTCGTCATCACTGGCACAAACGCCTCCCAGTGGGACTGCACCATATCCCACAATCCACCGCAGCTGTTCAGCCCCTCGGTGAACTGGAAGATCATACTGGACACCCTGAAGGTGAGCAGAGGGACTGAGTGAAGCTGACATTGATTCACTTGTGATGCTCATGTATGTAAGATGTTAAAATTACAAAACAGAAAGCTGGACAGTTGAGCTTCTAGCAGCTGTCAAGATACAAACCAGTGTATGTGAAATACATTGCAAGTGTGTGAATACATGCATGTTATGTATGAGACTGTGTGGGTGTCCTACCTGTGGTACATGTAGTGTTTCACTAAGCGGCTGCAGATTACCGGTATTTCATCAGAGTGTGCTGAACAGATTTCTGGGATCCCATAGCGTGACACCCAGTCACACAGACTGGGAGACAGAAGCTTCACATCAGTACAATTCTGAAGCTGTAGGAAGAGAAGAGGATTGGTGTTTGTGTGTGTGCATGACACTCGAAAGGCCCAGTAGTTGACTGTTGAGGAGTGACAGAAAGACATTTGGAGCGAAAGAGGAAATGACAGGCAGCAAAGGTTGCTGCTAGAGAGCAAAGCAGGTTAGATGAGTCTTTCCTGCTTGTGGAACAAAAATAAACAAATCAGTGGCTTATCCATTCACATAAATACTTGATTATAGTTTCAACATTTAAAATGCACAACAATTAGTCATTTTGCACTCTTTCATAACACGCACTTTAGTCATTGTTTCATCTAGTTTCATTGAAGGACTCTAATTATTTTATTTGATTGCTTAAAGTTGTATTCAATGTTTTTTTTTTTTTTTTTTTTATACAGTTTCAAATTAAAATCACCAAATAAGCTGTTTGTCTATGGTAATAAAGAACATTGTGCACCTCATTAATCACAGGCTGGGTTTCAAAATAAAGGGGAGTGAGTCATCTCTGTGTTTGCTACCTCTTGCAGTCGGCTCTGTGCTTCAGCATCCACAATGTCCTTCCAGCTGAAATCCTCCAAAGATGGACTCTGGCAGCACATCAGCTGTGATAAAGAGAATACCAATGTGCAAATACTGTTCAACAGAGCTACATCATGCATCACGCAGTGGTCTAATGTCACAACATGACAGTGCACACCTGTGTTTTCAGCAAAAAGAAATGTAAAACTGCATTACCTGGTTTATTTTGGTCATCTGCAACAGTGCAACAAGCTTTAAACACTGTCAAAGATTATTGGTGAAACTGTTATCAAGCAGATACATGTTTTTTTTGTATTAGGCAGACACCTAGTGTCATTATCATTGAATCTGGTTCTTCCCCCTGACAAATGTCTCTCTCTTTTAGTTCCATAGAAGCATGGTTGCACTGTCTGGCTCTGTAGCTGCTAAAAGCTCCACTATGTTCCACCAGCTAGAACACTGAGACTAACTCAAAATATAAAAGTTGCAGACTGTAAAACCAGAACAGGAAGCTGAAAGATGCTAAAATGCTTCAAAGTACAGCTTTAAAATGCAGCAAAGGATGCTGCACTGCAAAGTCAAATAGAGATATTAGACACATAATACTGACATTTTGTATATATATATATATATATATATATATAAGACTGTCAAAAGAGACTATCTTTTTTTTTTAACTAAAAAAAAAAAAAAATCCTTTACATTCATGGCAGCTTCAGTTAATTTGAGTGTTAATTGAAGAGAAAAATCCTCCTCAGATATCAGGTTTTAAACTTCCTGCTGCAGTTTGTGAAATAAACAGCAAATCTGTGTGTCAAAACTACATGCACTACCTAAAGTAGTTTACACAAGCGCACTGTTTGTTAGGGAGCCAACCTGGTATAGTACAGGGTGTAGACAACAAGGTCCAGGTCCACCCAGAGCCAATGACCAGCCAATCAGAACTCCCGCTTCATAATACTTCTGGTTCTGTAGAGCTTTGAGGTTACAGGTGAAGAACAGGCGACCTGGACGACCCTCAAACACGCAACTTTGCTCCAACTCTACCAGAGCCATCCTAAATGAGAGAAATTTTAAAAATCTTTAGTTATTAACTAGCAAACTCTATGCTTTAATGATTTGGTGAAGTATCCTGGTATGAAAATGGGGTTGTGCAAAGAAATATTAATGTCATTTATTAAGAAAAACTGACAGAAGTTTGCTGTTCTCACTTACTTTATAATAATATTTTATTTAACTTTTATTTTACCAGGTGGTTGTCATGTTCAATAACATCCTGGTCAAGAGGTGGCATACAAATAAGATGAACAGCAAAAACAGACTACATGTACAGCAACTCACACAATATTACATAAAGACTATAAAATAGAGATGCTAAAAACAAGTGCAGTGGTCCTGAAGTGTTGCTCTAACTGATTTTTTAAATGACGAGAGCGGTACGTATGAGGTGAGTTTTAGGGACTTTTGCAAAGAGTTCCAGTCATTCGTGGCAGAAAATTTGAATGAGGATCGACCGAAAGTGGTACAGACTTTGGGAATGTGGAAGTTATGAGACTGTTAGAACAAAAAGTACGGGTGGAGTTATGAATGGTAAGTAATGAACGCAGATATGGTGGTGTTTTACCAGTGAGGGTTTTGTGAGCTCAATTTTTAGTCTCATCAAACCAAAGCACCTTCTTCCAATTGACTTCAGGGCCTGATGCTTTCTGGTGAACTTTTTTTTTTTAACTGTGGCTTTCTCTATGCCACTCCCCATAAAGCTTCACTGATGAAGAACAGACAACAGTCACAATGGACAGTACCCATTATAAACAACATGCTCTAAAGGGGTAAGTGTTTTTGTGATATTAATTATGTTGCAAGCCACTTTTTCCTCTAAACATGTTTATTCATTTTGGATCTCAGCCTAAAACCTAAAAGGCTATTCTGTTTTTATGACTTCCAAACTGCACCATCACCAATCCTAAAGCCTACAGACTACATTTTGAAACACTTGGCAATAATCACATTTAAAATTTAAGATGTATAAAAAAAATATTTAAAAAAAACTTTTGTTGACAACTTTGTTCACATCCAGTCAGGATGCATGATTGAAACCATCACTACAAATACAAAAAGTGTGTTTCAGCCACAATGTCAGAGAAAAAGTTAGAACCTGAAGAACTCATTGAGATGTTCCTCTCGGCTATTGGCCTCCTCTCCTCTGAAGGAGATGACCGGTGTCGTCCTGAAGCAGAAGTCTGGCTGCCTCACCACTTTCAGAGCATCGTGGAGCACATCCCTCCTCCTCACCTCGATGCGAGTTTGTACATCCTGATGCATGTTCTTCTGTCGGAACAGTTTCAGGATGGTGTCTACGTCAAGCATGTCCTGCACGCAAGAGATACACTTTTAACAGGAGATGCAGGATACTGGTGGACTAACAATCGTAGGATTTCTGATACTCATCGAATACTTGGTTTGGTCAAAGGTTTGTTCAGTAGTAACCATTCCCCATTTGAGAAGAATAAAATAAAATCACCTCCTTTGGGGCCCTGCTGACACAAGGCTGATTGGCTTCGTCCTGGCAGCTTTCTGTGCCGACCTTCAGACAAAACTCTTTCCTGAACAAATCAGCACACATGCATTCAGAATAATTCTGTTAGTTGGTTCACCATTTATCCTTTTGAAACAAAGGAAACACTTTCTTACCTCTTCACCAAGTCTGTCTTGCTTCTTGAGCTCTTACATTCTGCCTGCTGAGAGCAAAGAGTCTCATAAGTTTGTGCGTTGCAGAAGAAATGTGTGCAATAAATATACAAGTTTATTTTAAAACATAAAGGATATTAACACAAAGGAATCTCCTACACTGCCACATCTATCATATTTATGCAATACACCTGTGGAACTGAATCTTTATCTGTTAGAAAACTCACAAACAAAAGTTAGATGAAAGTTCAAGCAGAATTATGCCTCAGCACTATTGTATTCCAATACATTCTTCAGAGATTGAATGGTTCATACACAAACGGAGCAGAAAGAGAGCTGGTTGAAACAAGGAAGGATTGATGACAGGTTCTATCGACACAGACCAAGGAATCAAATTATCATAAAGTTACTCACACTAGCAACCAAAGACATGCAGAAAGGCTCAAAAAAGATGGAAAATTATCAATTCAAAGTGTGAACAAAGAGATCCAAATGCAAAAAGGTGTTGAATAATTTGAAAAGAGTGGTACAATAGCAATTACAAAGCAATAATAATAACTTTATTTACCAAACATCTTTCTGAAATAAAGTTTCAAGGTGCTACACAAAGCAGATGTTAAAATACAAGGAATTAAACCAAGCAGATAAACACCAAACATATAAAATGACTAAATACAAAGAGAAATACAGAGCTGCTCTAATTGTTTTTTTGGGCTGTGAATCGCTTTGGTTCCTGTTAAATTGCTTATCAGTGTGCATCTGTCAACAAACTCATGAATGGTTTTTGTTTTTTGTTTAAACTGAGCCATTGTAGAGTACCTGTGGATAGTCGTGGTGACTGAGGATGTACAAAACATCATGTCCAGAGATTCTCAGTACCTGCTCCCCAGTCCAGTCCTCTGCTGGGGTGTCAGGGACGAATAGCACCCTGGAGCCCTGCAAACACTGGAGCAACACATACCTTCATAGATCCAGTTTACTTGGTGGCCAGGTTGACTTCATCCAAAATGTAGTCTACATTTTTAATGCAAATGTAATTTCTGGTAGTGAAATGTACACATCGTCACCTTAGAATTATAAAGTTCTATCTGACATTTTTGGCAAAATTGAGATATTTACATTTTCTGATTCTTGGACACATTATCTATACAATGCTATGTGTTTTGTTTTTTTGTAAATATTTTTTTAGCTTTTAATTGACAAAAACAGACAGTTCTATCTGCCATTTCCACTCTAAACTGAGTGTTATAAAGTTCTATCTGTGTTGGCCAATCAAGAACATACAACAATCCACCAATCACATTAATGCTTGCAGCTACGTAGCCAGCTACCATGACCTGACAGTTAATGGTAGCTTTCTGGCACCAAAATGTTTCAAAGAACTTAAAAAAAAGACTAACATTTCAAGAAGTCCTAAGCAAGATTTTTCAAGACAGCAGCAAAAGGAAGAGGTAAGATATTTTTCCTATTTGTGTGTGTGTTTTTTTTTTTTTTATTATTATTATTGTTTAAAAGTTAAAAACTATCATTAGCCTATTGAGCCAAGTTAGCTAGCCTAGCTAATCTTACTTCTGGAGCTGTGTTTAATTATTGACTGAATTTGATGTCTATGATTATGAAATAAATACCCAATAACACTATTACAACTATAAGTCGATGTGTATTGAATTTATTATGTTATCTATTAGTTTATGCAGTTATTGTCATTTAATGTAGCCCATCACTCCTCATACTTAACAATGTTTCCTTTCTTAAACAGGAAGAAAAATTCTGATGAAAATGAAGGAAAAACAAATGAGGCTCCAGAAAAGATGCTAATTAAAAATAAAAAGCAAAAAACAGGGGAAGACAAAATTTCATGGATCAGATGGATGGGTAGTCCTGAGCCGCTGCAATATCTCACGCCGCCACTGTGGGCCAATTTAACCGGCATGTTTTTAACGTTAACGTGTAATTCTAGTTTCTTAAAAAACAATGGTTAATGTTAAAGAAAACTACAACATGAAAATAATAAGGTTGAATGTAATGCAACAAAGATGCATGTTGCATTTTTTATTGTTAAATTATTGATCTGATTGTTCTGCTGTGATTGTAATAAATTGTATTATTGACCATTTTGTGACCTTTTTTTCTTCTACTTAATTCACTGTTTACATTAAACCTGAGTTGGATAACAAGTTCAACTGCTATCTTACTGTTAATTGTTTTTGTTGTATATTTGTGATGAACTACACTTTTAAATGGGACTTCAACCTGTAGAGCCCTTTGGGCAGTGCTCATAATATCATAAATAAGCAAAATAATTACATTAACCTTTGACCTATTTTTGAAATTTTCATTTGATTCACATTTCTATTTAAAGTTAGACCTGAAGATCTGGAGAGCAAAAATACATAGTTATTATTCGAGTTCAATACTGACTAAGGGTATTTATACAAACATAATTAACGATGATCTGAAAGATTTAACTGAAGCATAATTGGCCATTTCTAATGATAATAAAAGAAAAAAGAAAAACTTGGAAATGCACTTGAATGTTAAAAATAGTTGTTTGTTAAAATTATTTGAGTTCTGGAGCACAAGTTAGTGTTTTTAACGTGTTCTGCAGATAGAACTTTATAATTCCAAATGAAATGGGCCTTTTCAGAATTAGAAAGTTCTATCTGCAAAACACCCACTTCCAAAACTCCCACTTAGAAATTTTCAAATAATATCAAATTACACATTTAGACTCTCTTTAATATGCCTATAGTTCTCAAGTATTAACACAGTTTAATGTTCATTTCATTCTGACTATATGAGCAGTCAAAATTTTAAATGTAAATATCTCAAAACTACCGAGAACGCAGATAGAACTATATCATTCTAAGGTGACGACATGTTGAAGTCAACCTGGTTCTTAGCACACCTATGTTAGAAAAGCACCTGACACACACCTGTAGATATGTGAAGGAAAACCTTTGTCCTGCCTGCTTTACAAATCGCCTCCAGAAGAGCATCACCAAGCGACTCGCCATCTGATTGGCTGACCAGCTACGGTCAATGGTGATGCGAGCGATCATTCCCATTGCCACCAGGGCTGCTCGCGCTTTACTTTGTGGAATGATTGGTCTGGAAGAACAGAGAGGAATACACACGTGGACAAAATAGTTGGTACCCCTCGGTTAATGAAAGAAAAACCCCAAACTGTCACAGAAATAACTTGAATCTGACAAAAGTAATAAATAAAAATTCTATGAAAATTAACCAATGAAAATCAGACATTGCTTTTAAACCGTGGTTTAACAGAATTAAAAAATAAACTCATGAAACAGGCCTGGACAAAAATTATGGTACCCCTAGAAAAGACTGAAAGTAATGTGACCATAGGGACATGTTCAATCAAGGTGTGTCCTCTAATTAGCATCACAGGTGTCTACAAACTTGTAATCAGTCAGTCGGCCTATTTATAGGGTTACAAGTAGTCACTGTGCTGTTTGGTGTGTGTTTCATGGTGTGTACCACACTAAACATGGACCAGAGGAAGCAAAAGAGAGAGTTGTCTCAGGAGATTAGCTTATGATAAGCTTACAGCTTGATGTTCCTGTGACTACAGTTGCACATATTATTCAGAAATGTAAGATCCATGGGACTGTAGCCAATTTCACTGGACGTGGTCACAGGAGGAACATTGATGACAAATGGAAGAGACGGATAATACGAATGGTAACAAAAGAGCCCAGAACAACCTCTAAAGACATTAAAGGTGAACTCCAAGGTCAAGGTACGTCAGTGTCAGATTGCAACATTCGTCGTTGTTTGAGCCAAAGTGGACTTCATGGGAGACGGCCAAGGAGGACACCATTGTTGAAAACAAATCATAAAAAAGCCAGACTGCAATTTGTCAAACTGCATGTTGACAAGCCACAAAGCTTCTGGGAGAATGTCCTCTGGACTGATGAGACAAAACTGGAACTTTTTGGCTCATCAGCTCTATGTTCACAGACGTAAAAACGAAGCAAATCAAGAAAAGATCACTGTCCCTACTGTGAAACATTGAGGAGGCTCTGTTATGTTCTGGGGCTGCTTTGCTGCATCTAGCACAGGGTGTCTTGAATCTGTGCAGGGTACAATGAAATCTCAAGACTATCAAGGTATTCTAGAGAGAAATGTGCTGCCCAGTGTCAGAAAGCTTGGTCTCAGTCGCAGGTCATGGCCACCAGAGAGACACTCAGAGTGTTGAAACTGGAGAGGATTCTTCCTCTGAGGATGTGCTCAGAAAAATAACACTCTGACCATTAGATGTTCTAAATGGAGCAAGACTGGGACATTTGGCTCAATGGTACACCGGAGGGTCTCAGTCAGTTTCAGGAAAAACTGATTTTATCATGGGTCAAAGTTTTCTTCAATAAAATCTTCTGACTGCTAGTGGTGCTACAGAGGACCATCAATATGCACAATGAATTTCATTCCCATTTAAAATGTTTCCTCTACACAAAAGACTTCAAACACTCACACCCAAAACCTGAAACAGTTAGTACTCTTGGATGTCAGAGACTATCATGCGCTACATGAACTCTACTTCTACTGCAGACCTCGCCAGCTCAGACATGTTGTATCCTCTGGGTAGACAGACCACATCTTTAACCACCAGTTCTTTCTCCTGCGGAATCCGTCTCTTCCATTTGAGACGACCGGCTTTGTTATGGGACTGCTGCAACACAAAAGCACAACATCACACTGTGTTACTGCAACATAGTGCTGCCACGAAACAGAAAAACGGCACACAAAGTGATTCAGCTGGAGGAAAGAATAGTATGTCACATATACTGGTCGACTGAGATGCCGCAATTTTGAACATCGCACAAGAATACTAACTTTAGGCAGAAAAAAAATCCAATAAGTTTTTAGTTTAAGCAGCAAATCCATTGATTTCTGCATTCTACCACAGAAATGATTCATTATTTAGTCAATGAGCAGAGTGTGGATCAAAAACTATTTAAATGCCTAATTAATTACATTAAGTAGTTTATCACATAAAATTAAAAAAATACAAAAATGTGAAAGTTCCAGCTTCTTTGAAGTGTTTGTATCTTTTCTGTTTTACATAATTACAAACTTTGAGTTTTGTAACCAGATTTAGAGACTTTTGTTTGTATTTTTTTTTTTTAACATTTTGCATTTTAAAAGAATATTTTTTTGTTTGTTTGTTTAAAATAAAGGCTCTATAAATCTGTCATAACAGTACTGTTCAAAGAAGTGTTGAGGATGAGACAAATAAAACAACAAGACAATAAAATAAGAAAAAACAACAATAAATATGTGATCTTCTGAGAGTAAACTCACAGGAGATGCCAAATGCATGCAACAGATTGATCCAAAATCAATAAAACACGAGGACAGAAAGACAATTTTAAAGGTAAGCCAGATGACGAAAAATGCAAAAAAAAATGAGTATGTAAAATAGAAAAAGAAGGTAGAGAAAAAAGAGAAGAAAAAAGAGACAGAGACCAAATGTCGTTAGAGGACAAGGAACAAGGAAGATATAAATGCTGTCAGCCAGGCGAGGGGACGCCCACGCTCACCTGCACACAAAACGAACAACAGGAGGAAACCATGGGAGGAATAAACAAAGTGCAGACACAATCTCACCCCATTGCTCCACTTGTCCCTCACATTTACCATGAATTGTCATATCAGGCAAGCAGTCCATCAATATTTACAAAAATAATGAATAAAGTTGGTCCATTTAGCTCGCCAATATCAGGCCACACAAGATCAAAGATAGACAAAATTACCAATCTATTTGCTCCAGGACAAGAAGTGTTTTGGACTCAAGATCAACCACAACAACCTGAAATGCTACAATGCCCAATGATTGAAGTTCCAAATCCAATCCGGGGGACAGTAGAACAAGCCCAGGCACCAACAATGCATGTTTCCCACAAGTGACAAAAAGAGATTTTCCAGATGAGTCTGGTTGGGATCTGTGGAGTTGGCTTAAATCTGGACCGTGGTTCCATGTTGTAATGAAATATGCTATACACTGATCCTCTGTAGTCTGTTCACTACATGTGTCATACCGTGTCTCAGAGTCACAATATCTAGAGCTATTCACTCCACAGTAACACAGTATGTTCTGCTCCAGGAGGACACTGACCCTACTGTCGACTCATCCGATGAAAAAGACCAAGTGTAAATAGAATGTGAAGTGAATCTTATGCACATTCAGGAGTGGTTTTTATCTTGAACAATGATCATGTATAACCACATATACTCTCTTGTGTTTTTCTCTTTGACACTCCCTAACTGTATATATCTCTGTTTATATTTTCATGTCACCTCCTGAGATGCCGCCATGCTCTGTGCAGAGACGTCGCTGAGGCAGCAGGACAATGTGGATGGTTTCCCCAAATGACTATACCTGCCATTGGGGGTTTTGTGTCCACATGTGAAGGCACCTGGATAGCAAAGAACATATAAATCATAAAGAGGAGGGGGTGTTGTAGTAGAAATGTAGTGTTATATGTGATGATTCAGTGCTCTTTGTCCATCGATGAAGTACAGAAGGCTGTGAAAGATAGTGTGCACAGAACTTGCAAAAAAAAGGAACCAAGCCCACATGGCATGCCTGGGTGCATGAAGAGCGTGCTCAGCAGATGTGAGCAGAGGAGAAATCTTTTGTATGCCTGTGTAAATGTAACAGCGTTTCTTGACCCTGTAGTCACTTGTTCAGACTCTGTACTGTGCATGTGATTCCTTGCTGCAAGTAAAACATTGCTTTGACTTGAGAGATGACTCTGTGTGCTGATTTGGAGCAGCACTGAAGCATTTTCCTAAAAACAACTGATGGAGCAGAGCAAATGTAAAACACAGAAAACAGATCCGATTATTACTGATTGACTGATGTGTTAAGAATGGGTGCCTGGCCACACCTTAAACAAAAATGGTTTTATATATTTTTGAGATGCAAAGAGGACACAGCAGTCATCATTCAACCAGAAAATATGTACACATTTTAGGCGCTGTGCTTGCATGCAACTAGTGTCCAGACAGCGAAATTCATTGTGATTCATGTGTCAGAAAGTGGAGTCTGAGACGACGTACCAGAGTCATGATGGAGGCATCATTTGACACCTTGTTGGGAGGAAACACCTGCAGGGAGGAGAAACACATGTCAGTTAATTACACTGAAAAACATTAAACAGGACAACACACTTGGGCATGAATTGTCTTGAAAAGTATTGATATCACATGCAAACCAAACACAGAGGTGAGCGGCTGAGCAGAAGTTCTGACAGGTTTAAACCATCTCTGTCTTTACTTGACAGTGTGTGGAGTCAAGGGAGACTTTTATTTGGGGAATAAAAGAATAATAACAACAGCATGTTAAAAACGGGAACGGATGCTCTTTTAGCCTTGTGAGGATTAAGCGGTGTATAGATAATGGATGGACGGACGGAGGGATGGATGGATGGATGGATGGATGGATGCCTTTGCATTGTGGTTTATGTATTTATTGTTCACTAACCAGCCTTCGCATTCATTCTTTAAACTAACCTCCATCTCTATCTCTGTCGGCTGTGTGATGATGACGACAGGGGGGCGGTGCTGAGTGCCCTCTTCCTTGACAGGTGGCCTTGCTTTGGGTTTAGCCTGTTCCCTGGGTTGGGTTTGGACCTGTGGTTCTGGATCCTCTTCACAGTCTGGGACTAGAGGATGCTCCAGGTATCTCTGTGTTCAAGAGAAGGAAGAGGTAGTGGTTTGTTGAGCACAAATAATTAAAAAACGGGCATGCACTGCTGCTAAAGGAGTGTAGAGAGCAAACCAGTCACAGTTTTGATAATAAGAAACAGTGCAAAACTTTAAAGTTTCAATTACAGTGCACTTTTTTTTGTTTTGTTTTGTTTTGTTTTTAAAAATAGGACATGAATACCTGTTGTTTGTTTTCTAAAACCTGCTTTATACACAGTTGTGATGAATAGTCAGTATTGCTTTAAGGGTCAGTTCACCCAAATTACACAAAAGCATTTTCCTATTTGCAGCTATGAGCAGTGGCTCCCACCATTTTTGGATTATAATCCTTTTAAACTAAAATGGATGTAATTCTCAAAGAAATTATTTTTTTCATTGAAAAAAGCAACAACCTTACAACACAAAACAAACAAACAAAAAAAACGTAACTTGGTGTAGTGGACTTGTGTTTATTCTGCTCCTGTATTGTCTTCTTAACTGTCTTGCCACTATCAGGTCGAGGTCCACTGATTGTATTCTCTGGGGTTTGGACTTATTTGCTGCCTGCCCAACATACTGAAATGTGCAGAATTCAGTGGCGTTCAAAACACAGAAAAAAATGTCCTAAAAAATAATAGCCATTTTTCTCATCAAATTGTCATTGTCAAGATTTTTTAGGTTTGTTTTGGGTTTGATCCTTGAATCAGATTAACAGCTCTGGTGTGAGTTAAAAGCTGTTGGATCTAAATTTGAAATCCGATCACTGTCAAAGAGTTGCTTTGTGATGGAATCAGCTGTATCTAGTCAATAACCCAGGTCACGTTTGCACACATACATACATCAGGGTGAGTCTTTTTCTTAAACACGACCTGATATTTGCAGCAGTGCTTCCAGTCAACAACTAAACAAGATGTTTGAGAAAAAAACAGAGTTTTCATTTTCTTTAAATCCATGCTCAGGTTGCATGCCTTAACGCAGTGTTACAGAAGACTCACTTGGTGAAAGCTGTGTTCTTCCTCCTTCTCCTGCGTTGTTATCACCTCACAGCCCTGTTCTGAAGAAAAAAGCTCCATCTCAATGCTTTCGGTGATGATCATTAATGCTGCTTTCTTCTCGCCAAACTTCATCCTTTCGGATACAACTGAAAAACTGTCTCTCCTGTAATTCCCCTCGCTGACTCCACTTTGTTGTTCTGCTTCTCTCGTCAGAACAATCTCATCCGGCCTTTCTTCGTTTAGTCTAACTTTCCTCTGCTTTTTTGCTTTTACAGTTTTAGTGCCTAGTAGGTTTTCTTTTCTAGTTTCAAGGCCACACTTTCCTGAGGAGGACCTCCAAACATCTGAACAGCTGAGCTCTCATTAGCTCAAGCTGAGCTCTATCAGAGTCTAAAGATCTGGTTGGTCAGTCGTGCTCTCAGGCTGAGATTGGCTCTGTGGACAACTTGAAAGCTGTCATTGGTTGAGAGGGCTGGTAAAAAGCTCTAGCTGGCTCACTGGTATCTTTAAATGTGGCCTGAGTACTTATTTATTTTCTGTTGGTCACATTCCTTTAGAAGAGTCTTTTTATCAGATGGCAGGCGTAATTCAGTAGACTTTACACAAAGTCAGTTATCATTACAAGTGCACAATTGCTGCCATTAATCATGCTCTTTTTATTCAACCTCTCTTCACAAATCTTTCTATCTTGAACCTGATGATCGAGTCACTTTGTTGACAAAGTTGTCATCAATCATGGACAATACCTCGCACCCCCTACATGGGACTGTTAAAGTCCTGGAAAGCTCCATCAGTGCCAGGCTTCTTCATCCATGCTGTTCCAAAGAGGGGTAAAGCAGGTCCTTTCTACCCTCTGCTGTAAGACTCCACAATCAGCTATGCTCCCAGTAGACCAACACTGTGCAATATCCCCCTTTCTTTTCTGTACAATAAACAAACCATTTATATTGAGAAATAATCTATTTAAATTACACTGGTATTTGCACAACTCATGTATATATGTATGTATTTGCATTTGCACTGTTTATTTATTTTCTGCATCTTTTATATATATACATATATATCTTTTCATATTTATATGTTTTATGCTTGCACTCTTCTTTTTTATATGTGTATTTTCATACTTGTGTTTGCACTATTTCTCTGTGTGTGCTGCTGCTGACAACAATGTGAATTTCTCCACTGAGATAAATAAAGGCATATCTTATCTTACTTGATTATAGCTATCTGAACATTTTTCACCGTTAGTTACTAAATGCAAAATATAAAACACAAAGAAATTTCAAGTTTTAGGCTTCGCAAGTCTTCATAATATATTAATTTAGAATTGTAATGTAGAAAATTTGGGATTTATTTTGTTCTTGTGCTTTAAAGTCTTATTCAGTCTTCGTTATTTGTAATTTTATTCAATATTGTATGTTTTGTTGTATCTTTTACGAAGCACTGTAAGTTGTTTTTGAAACGTTTTTAATTCAGTTTTATTTATACAGCACCAATTCATGACATAAGTCAACTGAGGAAAAACTCCAAAAACCACCCTGTGAACAGGCAGAAACCTCCAGCCGAACCACAGGTTGGGATGAGGGGAGAAGATTATATATGCATTTTTAAAAAGTAATTAATATTAAAATGATCTACTTTATTGTCCTTTGCAAGTCCAATACAAAAAAATGCACTTCTTAACTGCTCAAAATAGAAGTTAAGACATAATTGTCAGGTTACTCCAGTTTGCAGACTGAAGCAGGAGCCCACATGCTACCTCACAGTGATCTTTTAATCACGTTTTTTGGGGCGGGACAAAGTCAAAACAGAACAGTGTTTGTTTAAAGTCACATCTCATTCCTGTCGTGAAACTACAGCAACTCATCAAAACCACACAGAACAATCCTTAATCAGTGTGGCAATCAACTGAGGCAACAACAGAGGCGACTGTCTTCTGATTGCATTATCAGCGACTGCAGACACAACAAAAGTGATCTCTGCTCTTTACTAACTTACACAAGTTTCCCATGGGCCAGACAAGACGTCAAAGGTGAATGAATGAATGACAGGTTTTTAGATAGTTAGGAGGAACGCTTTAATTAAAAACTGTGAGTAGGCACTCAGTAGCTCCAACACAACAATAGTTTTTGGCTGTTTGCAGATTGAATGAAACATCACTTCTAAATAGTTGGACAAAATTCTAAACACTTTTTGCTCAAATGAGAACATTGTTACTAAAAAACATCAGAGATTAAAAAAAAAGAAGAAGAAGAAGTTTCACTTTAACAGTAAAAATAAAGCGGAAAGAAAAAATGCTGACTGGTATCTGTTGAGATACTTAGTGTAGATTTAATCAGCTCTTTTCTGATGTAACAGCAGTGAAATTCCTCTCAGATCTTTGTGTGCAAGTATTTAAAAACTAAATGGAGGAAAATGCTTGCAGCTCAAAGGGCCTCAAAGCTCACTCAGTAGTCTCAATGTAAAGCTCTATACTTTAGGGGTAAGAAGTGAATCATTCTCAAAACAGCTCGATATAAAATGAGCCAGCATCAGCAGGTATGAGCCATTAAAGCTTCTCAGGAGCCTGGACAACAGCAAATAGTTTAAATCTTGTTCCAAAAGTGTAATTAGGTTGTTTAATTTAATTGCATAATACCTAAAATACATGACTGTCGGGGGTCAACCAAAGACTTCACAGACTGCAGCCTGAATCATCCACATCTATTGAGGGTATTTTAATTAAAACACTAAATGTCCAGCTGCTCCATTGCAGCAGGTCAAAATGCTTCAGTCCTTATTGATCACTTTCTGCGTTTGCGCGTGTGTGTCTCTCAGGTCATCAGGTGTCTCTGGCTACATGTCAGCAGGTGAGGCAGGAAGTACGACGCCGTGCCGTCATCAGGTATCAGCTCCAAGAACTCTGCGGGGCTCATCTCCATGGCAACAACGACCAGCGTCTCTGTTGGCATGAAAACCGGTCACAACAAACGCAGGCCCACAAATGTGTATCTAGTTTCTACTTTAAACCTGATTAGTAACGATGCATCCGTTAAAAACAGTCATTTAGTGAAGTGTAATGGAAGCTTGTCATCAGTAAAGACACACTTCATTCACAGCCAGAACCAGTTTAGATACACTGAGGCCATATGCTGAAACAAATCCAACCTAATTAACTATTAAGTGTTTTTTTATATTGTTGCAACTCTATCATCACTTAATCCTGTAATGCCAAGTGTGTCATATTTGATACATGAGTTTTTGAGATCTCTACATCATCAGTGTGATTTTTTGTTTTTGTTTTCATGAAACACCTGATGTATACAATCAGACACATGCATTGCATAGATAATCCACCATAGATCAGCAATTCATGCATCAAAAAGGCCGAATGTAGCAAA